CTTCACAGACCGATTGTATTAGTATTTCATCAAGTTTTTAGTTCAGGAGAACATAAAAGTATTAGTTTGGTTAGTTCAAGGTTTTTTTCCGCATCACCATACAGCCATTATTTGATATTTTACCAGAGCCATTACGTTTGTCGTATTCAACCTAACAGGCTCCACTTACAAACATACACACAGACACAAAGTTTACCTTGGAAAAACTGGGATTTGCTGGGTGCCTCTGGTGTTTAACATATTAGTGTGATTCAAAAATAACGTGTTAAAATACCAGTCACACACACAAAATAAACTCATGAGGCAGAAAGCGGTCCTCTGCCAGCTAAAATTACCTTTTAGAGTTCAGTGGCTTTAACCAGAACAACAGTCGTCCTTGTCAAAGAAGCTCTGTGAGTTTTAAAAATGCTTTAAATACAGCCCACGGTTAAACTGAATGGGAATGTTGTTGTTGTTGTTGTTGTTGTTGTTGTTGTTGTTGTTACGAGATGTTTTGCTGCTGAACCTCCAGAGCAGTATTTTTAACATCCACATTAGCAGCATACTATGATAAGGTCAGGTAACTATGGACAACTTTTAGCTCAACTCATATTGGTTACATAATGTTTTACATAGAAACAGAGGAAAATTCTTTCTTCCTCCAGGTTTTCATAACTCATATTTTTTTTTCCTTTTATCTCATAATATTATAAAAACTAATTTTCATGATAAATCAATTCATTTCAATCAAAGGTAAATTTAAAATAAATGATCATAACTGTCACTGCTTCATAATTACTATTAGTATCATTATGATTAGCTTGGATGTTTAATAACATTCTCTTTTGTTGCATAAATCAGTTATGTATCTTTTCTCATCTTCAGAGTTGTAAGAAAGTGACTTTTTTCTTTCATTTTAAACAAGCGAGAGTTTAAAATGTCTGTATGACTATCTTTGCTTTATTACAAAGGCTTCCAAACACTTGAAGTGGCATTAAATTGTCAATTGTATTCTCTCCTGCTTATCAGCAGACAAAAGGGAAAAT